GTCGGACACCGCTGAGCAACTGAACTGAACTGAATTCCTGAACAGCCTTGGTGCATAACTGATGAGTTCAGATATGTACAATTTGAGGTTCTGCGGTGATTGTTTCAATCAAATCTGTCAGCAAAAAACATACTCAAAACAGATTGTTAACCAACTAGAAAGTAACATGTAACTTCTGTCATCTTGCTGTTTACTTAAGTATCACATGTAAAGTACAATCACAAGTCAGTACCTATCTCAGAAAGGAAAGAGCACTTAGTTGTAGACAAAATGGAGTCTTACATTTATGCCACAAAATGGTTTAACTTTTACTTCTAGGACTAGAACAGAATTGCACCCTAGGGAAAAACACAAAACAATGCTCTTTGGTTTATATGAATTAAAAACCAGAGTTTGTGTGTGAATATAGTAATAAGCATTAAATGGCACTTGTTGTATATGCACATTTGCTTTAAAGCAGACTGTACAAACATAAGAAACTGTTTCATCAAATTTCAAATTACTTTTTGTTAACACGCTGCTTCCCCCATGGAAATCTTTCTATGTAGTTTAAGGCTATATAATCTTACTGCTAATCAATCAGAAACCACACCCATCATTCCCTCTAAAAATGTAAGCTAAATTTATGAACAAAATTCACTGTAATTTTGCATTCAAATATTTAAGCAAATGAGAGTCAAATTAAGTCTCTGTACACAAACATTTACATGACATGGAGATAAACGTTCCAAGTTATGACAGTTACCTAAAACTTATCTTTGGAATGGGGCACATGCAACAAGATGAAAGATGCTCTGCTTCTCAATGTGTATCAATGAATTCATTTTCAAACCCTGTGAATATATTACCAATTCAAAAAAATACAATCGTAACAGTAATATGCTTAATATGCTGCTATATTACTTAGTAGACTTTTGCCCACTCTTTGTAGCAAAGAACTTGATTTAACACAACTGAAAAGAATGATTCTAATCATTTAAAACTGAAAGTTACAGATCTTTACCTTTTCATTATACAACTTAATGTAACCAATCCTGTTATCAAAAATTTCTCTTTCCAAGTTCTAGAAATCATTACACTAGAATATTAAAATTAATAACCCAAGAACAAACTACAGATTGAAAGACACTTGCAAGACACATCTGATAAAGAATTGTTATCCAAGATACAGAAAGAACTCTTAAAAAACTCAGTAGGAAAACAAATGATAAAAATGGGCCAAAGACCTTATTAGACACCGCATTAAAGAAGATATAAAACAAATCACAAATTAATTCTAAAGATTCATCACATTACCATGATGAGATTTAATTGCATGCCTATTTGAACAGCCAAAACGCAGAACACTGATATAAAATGCTAAAGATGTGGAATAGAAACTCTTTCAATGCTATAGGAATGCAAAATTGTACAACCATTTGGGAAGAGTTTGATGATTTCTCTATATATTCTTACATTATTACCTACCCAAGAATGAAAACTTAATCCCACACAAATCTGCTCACTAATGTTTGTAACCACTTTATTCCTAACTGCCCAAACTTGCAAGCAACCAAGATATCCTTCAACAGGTGTATGGAATAAACGGTGGCATGTCCAGAAAACGGATTGTTCAAGACTAAAAAAAAATGAGCTGTCAAGCCATGAAAAGGCATGAAGAAAACTTAAGTGATTACTAAGTGTAAGAAGCCAATCTGAAATGGTTGCATACGTACTATACAATTCCACGTATAACATTTGGAAAAGGAAAAATTATAGCAGCATTAGAAAGGTCAGTAGCTTTCAGGGGCTCAGTGAAAACACTCTGTATATTATGATGAATTTGTCACTATAGATTTGTCCAAACTCATGGAAAACACCAATGGTTAACTATAATTTATGGACTTTGGGTGATTATGATGTTAATACAGGTTCATCAACTCAAACAAAATGTTATCACTCTAGTGGTTGATGTTGGTAATAGAGCTATGTATGTGGCGTGGGTGAAGAGGGTGCATGGGAAATCTCTGCACTTCTCTCTCAACTTTGCTGTAAACCTAAAATTAAGTCCTCAAAAAACTAATAGGGAACGTTAAGTGCCAGGTATTTTTATCCTTCCAGTTGAAGAAGCCTGGTTTTAAGAGTCCATTATCTTAACTAGTAAGTCATTTCACTTATATTGCAGTTTTTTCCTTTGCAGTTTCATGCTGTGGAAAACCACTTCTGCTCAAACCATAGGCCCTAGTTTTGCAGATAAAGCCCACTGAAAAATAGATATGATAAAGGGACTATCCTTAGGCCATATATAGGTAATTCATATCATCACTGTTAAAACATGCATGGGGTGGGGACGTAGAGTGCAAGGAGAAATGTGGTATTAGTCTTGAAATGCTTTATATCAGTGTACATTTCAAAGTTAAAGCCCATTTATATATCTTGCCTGAGAAACTTTCAGGTTTGAATACAGGAGTCCTGGTACAATTGAATCTTCCTAGTTGCTTTACACACTTTGATCCCTTCTCCCCAACTGATGATCCTGACAAATCAAATACTTAAGTCAGATATGTTCTAAATTAATATTTCTCACAAGAAATGATTATGGAAACATTACTGTAATCTCATGCTACTTATTTCAAAGACCATTACAGACAAGTGAAGCCCAAGGGTTCATCATCTTTCCATCTAAGTCTTCTTTGCCCCCAGTAAACTCCTCTTGGATTTCAAAACTTGAAGATTTAAAAACTTAACAAGCAAATGTTTACAGAGGTAGCATTGGAGGAAAACAAAGTCTTAAACTTTGAATAAATATTGTTTGCCTTCAAACACCACAATTTTTAGCTCAACTGTGATTCAGTATCCTTCATAATTTAAGACACTATCCTTATCTCATACTTCAATAGTATACATAGCCCCTCACCTGAAGTAAAAGTAGCAGCAAAGAACTGGGACAGTTGGTAGCGAATCATCATGGTAAGTACTGAACATTTCCATTTCCAACTCCATCATTGAGATGTAATGGTTCTGCTTTTTGGCTTCAGCTATTGCATTGGCCAAGTCAACATGCCACTGTTAGCTCTTGTTCTTTATTATCTCACATGACACCTGCAAAGACTAAGCCCACGGGACCATCTCAACATTAGAATCAAACCCCAAATAAAACTCTGCCAGTTGCTGTAAACTAATTGTAATGCCTAAAGTGCCATTTGTAAAGCAAAAGAGAAAAAGAGAAAAGGGAGATAGGATGGAGTAACTGACCTAAATTCTTCTAACACTGTTTTGATCCTAAAAGTGCCTATTCGTGTCTTCAAAATTAAACTGCCTATTGTGTACCATACAAGATGTTTAACACTCATCTCATGGTTCTCACGTGAATGTTTAGGGATGGAAATGAAAAAAAAAATTATAGCCATGCAAAGTCTATAAACACGACTAAATTCAATATCAAACATTTCCTAATTATCCCCCTTTAGGATATCTAACTATGGCTTAAAAACCCAATAAACAAGTGGAAAGTCTCCCTCTGTACATGGCTTTTATTATTTACATAATACAATATAGCATCAATGCTGAATAGCATGATTATGTGCAATACATAAATATGGACTATCTGTACACATCTGCAGATCTAACTTTAGAACTAAGGTACATAAACTTGAAAGCAAAACTGAATGCTTTAAGAATAAAAGTAAAAACTAAGACTGAACACTGCAATAAATCAGAAGTAGTGCCTCGTGTACATACTTAACTATTTACAGATGAAAACAGGCATTACCACGACACTAATCTAACTGTACTCATTTATATATAAAAAACACAAGTTTCATACATCACAGAAAACCTTCCATTGTAACACAGAAGTGATATTACCAGACAAGCATCAGTGAAGTATACTGCCTCTTCTAGTTGTTATTGTACAATGCTGTAGATAATGCAGCCCATGCAATACACCCAAGAACACTAGAGTCCTACACCCAAGTACAATTAATATAAAGCAGCCCTCTGCAAGTGGTGCTGGATACCACTAAGAAGTCTACTGCAGCCATGTTGGTTATGATTTTCCATGCAGAAGGGTACAGTTACATTAAGAACTGAAGTCTTTAAAAAAGCTTTAAACATTCTTTCTTGAACCAAAACATTCAACAAAATATGCACATGAAAAATTAACTATTCAGATACCTTTGCAACTTAAAATTCAGATGCATGTTATTCCATAGAGCTGCTGTATGTGAAAACCAAACGTAGAGTTTTAATTTCTTCTTGTAAATAAATAAATCCTAGTGCAGTTCTGTGCTACACAACATTTTTAGCAATGATAAGAGTAATGCAGACGTCATCTGGTGCAGGCCAGCATAATAAGCTTCAAAAGATAGCTCAAGACCCTGTTGGCTTGATGCGTTTTACTCTTTAGCCAGTTAAACAATGTGTACCTTTCACAGGATGTCTTGACAGTTTTTAGAACACCAATTAACCAGGCTTACATATGGCACCAAACACTGGTTTCATGGAAAGGTCTGATTCTTTTTATAGCTTTCTTCCTGCTTCCAAAGAACATGTGGAAATTAACAGGGTGAAGTTTAACTATGGTAGAAGTAGACTGCCAGTCCTTTTCTGGTGTACCATTTCTTTAAAAAAATACAGGCACATAACACTAGCCAAAGATTATACCTTGATTACATTCCCAAAGGCAGATATGCTGCAAACATGCAGATAGGTATTTCACTTATTTTGTTTGGCACAAAGGAACTAAATTTTGTCCTTATTATCTGTGTATTTCAATTTGCTGTGCAGATTTTCATCCAATTTTATTCAAGGGAGGGCATATACATTTTGTAGGGCTGTATCTATCCAATTCTGCCTGTAACGAACACCCAAACATCCTAAAATATCAATTATAAGACAGACAAGTGTAAAGTAAAACTCTGGAGAACATCAAAGGAAAATGGCCATGCATCTGCTCTTTAATGTTTTCCTACGGTATATTAAAATAAAAACAAATTATCAGTCTCTTCACAAGTAGTAATTTATATTCTCTGAATTTTTTCAGCCACAACAACTGGATTCTCTTTTCTGATTTTTGCTGCAGCTTCTGCTTTGTAATCATATGGACAGTTGTGCTTGTCAGAGTAACGGTGAAGTCCACAAAATAAATTTCCACATCGGCAGTCAAACCCTGTACATATAAAAGGAAGCAGAGTCATTTAGGAACTCAGAGCAATTAGAAGAAACAAAGCATAAGTCACTACAGAAACGGAACCAGATTTCCATGACTGTCACATTAAACCAACTGTCATTTTAAATTGTGAAAGTGTTCCCAACCTCTGCTGACCCGGTGAGAAATTCAAGTAACCATCTTCCATAAAATCTGGCAGATATCAAACAGGGCAGAAAAATCACAAAGCTCTGGAGTCTGAACTGGATTTAAGTTCTAGTCCTGCTGTATACTGACTGACTAATAATGTTTCTGCACGTGAAAACTAGAAGACAACCACGGACAGTTCTGAGATTTAAACAAAACAATTAAAAAGTATCTAGAACATTTTGTGTCTGGCTCAAAGTAGGTGATTACTGTTTAATTCAACTACCTTTCCCTCAGAAGAACAAAGGAAAGAATTAAGAGATGAAGTTTTACTAGTCCTATAAAGGAAAATAATTCAGAAGGCCTGAAGTCAGGAAAGGGTTTCATATGATTAGAGAGACCAATGGAAAGCAAACTCAACTTCTTCTCACTGTCCCCTTTCCAGTCTATTGTGCAAATTTCCTATTCTTGAAAGTTGGGCGTTTTATGTTTAAGACTGCCTAGTCCCATAGGGAGTAACCAAGAGCTCTTGAATACCTGTGAGGCCAACTTTCTTTCTGCACATGAAACACCTGTTCTTCTTTGGTTTGGGCAACTCAGGAGCTTTTTCTTCACTTTGAGAAGTACTGGGCTGAGAAACTGAAGGACTGGGCTGAGTGACAACTGAAAAAACAAGGGTAAAAATTAGAAGTTTGTCAACTGTTTGGCTGACAATTATCTAACTCAAAACCAAAACAACAGTAAGACTCTTCATGAAAATGTTTAAAACCTTCTTGAAAGAAAACATATATTTTAAATACAATCTTCTACTTTATTATCACTCCACTAAAATTCCATTAAACTCACTCTAGGACTGGGAAACAAAATCCTAATTCTAGGTTTTAAAGACCTGAGAGATGTGGTCATCTGCTTAGTTTCCACAATGCAAATACCTAAATGCAATCTTCTTAATTAGTACAGCTCAAATTCATTACTACTCAGTAAATAAGGATGCCAACTTCTTAGGTACTTAGCTATAAAGTCGTTTTGTTTTTATACTGAAAAGTGGAAAGAAAAACTGTAGATAAACCCAGTAAAATTTGACAAGTAAAACCCAAACCATTAACCTCTAACTCAGACTCTAAAATTTCACAATTATTTTATCATTTTAAAAAGTGCTTTATTTTGTCTTATGCAGAAAATGTGCAAGCCTTTTTAAAAAAACAAGAAAAAAAAAACCTTTCTTTTGAAGATTAGCAAACACTGTGTTTAGGACAATATAAATACTTGTGAAGCTTAAGGATTCCATAGGCAAAACAAGAATTTTTACTTTAATTTTTAATTAAATTCTTTAATTTACTTTGTGATACTTAATGAGAGATATGACCTACTTTTAAAAATCCGTTTCTCCAGGTAAAAGGGATCTAAGTTTTAAGCTTACTCATGACATCAACAGAATTTGTCAATATAAAGATAAAACGGCAGATAACTGTGAGTTCACATTACCTCCAGGTTATTTAAAACAAAATTTAATTCTACCTTTATAAAATTAATATTAATCCAAATCCCAAGAACAGCAAATTGATGCACACAATACTAGAATTACTGCCTGAACAATAGGCCAGCACTAATGTTATCAGCATAAATCCAAACTCTACGGCAAACCAACTGGTTTTAATAACAACTTACTGAAATTCTCACCAAATTCAGAATTCATTTACATTAGTGATATATCCAGTGAGATTAACAGTATAATATTAGACCACTGGTAATATCCTACCTATTACTTATTCCTAAAAATCTACCATGGCCACCTTAATGTATTTTCATGATGGTATAATGGTAAAGAACAGTCTGTAGAATAGTCTAGGGGAGGTGACAGCCATTTCCCTGGCTACACCTGAAAACTGGACAGTGGTTTTTAAAACATACACAAGACTTTGGTGGGGGGTGGGGGTGGGGGTGGGGATGCGAGTAGTTAGGAAAGGAAAAATGATATAGGAAAGGCAAAGCAGCAAAGTGCATTCAGGTGAAGAAATAATAAATGCACAGAAAGAGTTACAGATCTAATCCGAGAGAGTACTGTTCTAAGATTTTGTTTTTTAAAAAACAGAAACAAATGAAACGGAATAACACTAATTTGGTCAGTTTTTCATCCTAAGGATGGAACTTTAAATACCAAATATGGATTCAACCACCCAACATAAAAATTTTCACCTTAGCTTTATCAATCAAGACATATACAGTTCACATAAGCTTGGCTATGTAATATTAGCAAAAGCAAGCTTTCAAAGAAGATTACATATCCGATGCTATTTTCTCACTAAAGGTTTTAACATTGTGTCCCAGTAGACACTTATACCAGGAAATAACGAATTGATCAAATCAACTATGTGCACCATAGAGTATGCAAATCACCGTTCCAGGGTCTAGCAATGAAAAGTAAAAAGTCGACCTTCTGATAACAGAGCACAACCGGAAGTGCTTTAATGTTAAGTTCAGCATAGACTCAGTCACTAATGAAAACCAAAATGCCATTCCACACTGAGCTTAAACTCCGAGGGACCCCACACTTCAACTTGAAAAGTTTGTGTTCGACATGTTCTTTTGTTTGAGTCTTTCCTAAAGTATTGACAATATCCAAGACTAAAGAGTTAACACTTTTGATTATTTTTTCTCCATAGCTCTGCAACTCGATTTTAGTAATTTCTTCTATGAACAATACCTTCTTTAATGTTTAGATACTTTTAAAATGTAGTGGTAACGTACCTTTTAAATTCATTAAATTCTTGACATTTCCAGCCTTCACATTATAAAGTTTGCTGATTTGTAGGTGCAGAGGTAACGGGGGATGGGCAGAGAAGAGATGAAAGAATCAGATAAAAAGCATACCTGGCTCTGACACCTCTGTTTTCGGGGGAGTTACTTTGTCCTCTCTTGAAATGCTCATTTCTGTCATTTGCTGAGTTACAGGCAAGGCAGCCACAGGCACATTTCTATTTGAGTTCAAGCAAACATTTTTAAAGATGTTAAAGGTACTTCTTGGTGAGAAAGGTAAGTTGTCAGTTCAAAAAATATATATATATATATATTATTTCTAGCATGATCAAATGGAGCTACTCTAAAAAGGATGCACAGCACAAATGTCTGAGAATAAGGAGAGCAATCTGATAAATGGCTCATCAATTCAAGCCTGCATATTTGTATAGGTTACAGTGTTCTATCAGAGCCAACTAGAAATATTTAGCTGTGCCTGTAAGGGCAAAAGGGACAGCTCTGCCAGAATGCCTTATATAGCAGCACAATAATCTGTAGAGCCTCATTCTCTATAATCGTCACACCTCAATTCCAAGAAAAAGCACAGCATTCTCAACACAGTATCCTTGAGGCTATTCAGCAGCTGTGCATTATTATATACATCTTTACTCAATGACCTACAAGATCATATATTAAAGGACACTGGAATCCCCAACTGTGCAACACATGCGGGCATCTAATGTATTAACATCCTTATTATAAAGTAATATATATGATGTAACACAACATCCTTATTATTTATTAACATTCATAATTATGTCATCTTTATTTCCTCCCTGCATTATTATACTCAGAAATGTTTAATCTTACCTTGATTTTTCAGATGTGCTGCCAGCAGCACCTTCACAGTTGTTTAAACTAGCATCTGCTCTTTGTACAGATGCAGAATCTGAGGTAGGACTGTTGGAACCACTAGCTGTCCCTATTTAAAAAAAGGTTTGGTAAGAAATGAAGCAACACTACAAACACTCATTATCAAAACTATTAATAAGTAACAAATACTTGCATTTAATTAGGTTAGTGACAAACACTTTTCCACTTTGCCGCAGAATCTGACATTTAAGTGATATCCCAACAACAACAAAAATAAGTAAAAAAGTCATAGCCAATAAAACCTCAAAAAGGGAAAAGAAAAAGCAGAAGATGCTTGTAGATGTCACCCATTCCTCATGCAGTCATTTCAAGTACTTGGTTGCTGTTTTAAGTTTCAAGCTTTTCTCAGGTCTTCTCTCCTTTCAGCACTGATTCTCAGTCTGAGGCCCCAATTCTTTGTTGTATATTTTGCGGCCACCAGTTCTTCAAACGCGATATTTCTTGGAAACAACTTACCCATTGGGCTCATTCTGCCACTATTCTGCTGCCTCTGAAGATGTTCTTTGTAGCAAACAGAACACATTCCATTTGTCCTAGGATTCCCATAAAAGCCACATCCTGTACTACACAGCATGGGCCCTGGGGTCTGGTTAGTCTCCTGAGCCATTTTTCTGCTATAAACAGAACAAAATAAAAATTTTAGAAACCAGAATTAAGTAAAATAAAAAAAAACAAAAAACAAAACCACACAATCACTAAATTAGTACGATAGTCATCACTTATCTTTGTCATCTCTAAACACTGCATTTGTTTCTAACAAAGGCCTAAATTGTTATTAATCTTTAAAATAGGCTAAATTATGAATGTTTTGTTGCCTTTATAAAACAAAATACATGAAAGGAACTGTTTTAGCTTGATAAATTGATCTATCATGACTTGACATTTTTAGGACAAAAAAATTCTATCATGAAACATTAAAATTTCACCTGTCACTGTTTAATTCCTGAAAAGGTCACCCTTCCATTGTTTAATTCTTTAAACACAGAATTTTGTTTAAATCAATTTTTCTAACTGGTATCTTTATATCACTTTTTGTTCTACACTATAGGCAAATCATTTCAAATCATCATAATTAACTACTGACTCTTCATATCTACTAGTGGTTCTTTAAGCTAGTAGTATATGGGATGCAGGTCTAAAGGTTTCCTACACCACCTGAACATATTGGGCTCTTTAATTAATTCAATTCTGCTACAGGGCAGAGCATAGGTACTTTTAAAATGCTTCAACTCCTTTATAGGACACTGAAAAGAGAGCTGGTAGATCATCTAGCTCTTCCTATTACCCTGGCACCAAAAAGTGAAGCTCTTTAAGAATTCAGGGGTCAGTTGCCTAGGAAATTCCTTTTGTTCTACATTTGACATGTGAAATCTGGGTCTAAGTATACTTTAAAGCCAGTGCCTAGAAACCTACAAAGCACAAATTATCAGCCACAGATTTCTCAACCAACAGCTCTATTAAAACTTGTAACAAGCGTTTGTCTTCCTCATGCCAGAAAATAATGAAACCTTTCAAGCTCAATTTCAAGATAGCAAAGTAAAGCAATACACACAATCTTTAATAATGGTTAATATTTAATGCTAGGTTACCAGAAACAACTTAATGTAACCTTGTTATTCCAGAAGCCTTCTTAAAATACAAATACAGTAATGTTTTGCTAAATTTAGTAAAATTTGCTGAGTTAACAGAACATAAATATTTAAGAAAAAAAATTAAAAACCTGCAAGGTTTCCATGTCACCTTAAATTATGTATTAATGTAAAGAAAGCATATTTGGGCATTTTATCAAAGGGAGATTGTGTCTAATAATTCTGGTCACTGTCATTTAACTGTACCTAAATGTTGATAATAGAGGTGACTTACAAGTTATGAACATTTCAGGTACATATAGCAAAGTACTTTCAGTTAGAGCTTGTTACTTACTAAAATTTCATGTTGTTTTTTCCAACCAGCACCAACTAGGATACACTCTTCAGGGAGTTATCATGAAGTGTGAACAAGTATTAACACTTTTAACCAAACTTATAAAAGGAAGAGGACTAACCAAATTTGATGTGGCCTGAATCCTGACAATTATTCCCCCAACCATTTAAATGATGATCTTTCCTTCTGTTAGCAAAAAGACATATTTCAAGCTTGAAAATATTTCAAGCCAATGAAGCTTGCATGGAACTTGACCAATATTTGCAACTTACTTCAGACAACAGTACTAATTTAGTTAACACTATCTCTTTAAATAGTAAGTGGAATTTAGCTGACTCATTTTGGAGCAGGGCAGTGTAAACATTTCAACACTGCTTAGGAAGTTTATTGATAAACATTTTCAGCTGAGTTTTTAAGATTCTGAGTATAACGTACAGAAAAAAAAGCATTATGCATTTATTTGCACGCCCACCAGGCAAAATATGTGAATCTTTGCCCTATGCAAAAAAAAAAAGCCACTCCTGGAAGTCCTAACAATTATGCTTAGCTTACCTTCTATATTAACTTCTGCTATCATCTGAGACTGGCTTAAACAGTAAACTGGCATAAAAGTCAATTTACATTAATAGTAATCTGATTCTTAAAATCTTTTGTTTATATAAATGTGGGTGGGAATCTTATCCAATAATTTCATATGCAAAGTATTCCAACTTTCTTCAGAAAACACATCTACCTTCAATTTACCATAAATAGCCTCCAAACTGAGACACAGGAGACAACAGGACATTAGTCTTATACATGGTGCCTCATCTTTTCTCCCCCTAGAAAGGCAGCTTTTAAATGCCATCACAAGTGCAGTTTGCCTTAATATTTCTCAGAAGCTTAGATCACATGGGCGGGCGCTTCAGCCTGTCACAAGGCTGCAATGTGACAGGCTGAGCGGGATGGAGGCTCTCACATAAAGCCTAGTCAACAGGGGCCTCTGAAATCAGCTTCTATTTATATCTCAGAGCCTGCCAACTCCTACACAACCCCAAGAACTAAAGATGCAGCACTTGTATATCTAATATAATAAGCAAACACAACAAAAAGATGCCATTAAGGTTGTTAGTTTTTTCCGAGGTAGGTAAGGAGAACAATCGCAAATCGGAAATGCAAGTATCATCAATCACTCAGACAAAATGGTCAGAGTTGTTTATAAAAATCCAAGCACAAGGAAGAGAGCACCAAGGTAGAAACAACCCTCCTGTTTAGCAGCAATTTTGAGGTGGGTGTGGGGAATAAATTGCCATTTCCCTATTTGTATTTTAGAAAAAAATACAATACCATTATTACTTAGCATCTTTAATAAAGTTGTTAGGAACTTGAGCATTCATTGTGTCAGCTCTATCAAATATAGGATGAAACGTGTGTGTGTACGTGTGTGTATACTTCACTGTTTGCGGCCTCCTCTAATTCATAGCTAAAAAACAAAACCCCAAAAAAGACTGGAGCATGTAACTGAAAAATTCTCCAGCCTCAAACATGAATAAAAAAGGCTTTTACAACTATGAAATTTAGTTCTCTCGGGTGCACAAGACGTTAAGAATGCTCACCCTACCCGGAGTTGAGACTGGAGTTCTAGTCTCTAATCTACCTCTAACTAAGCCAGTGACCTTGGACAAGCCCTTACTCTCCAGATATTCGTTGCCTCTTGCCAAATGGAGATTACTGTGATTTTAAAGGCTCCTTTTCAGGCTTAATACAGAGCCTGAGAGAGAGAGAAAATAAGATTAAAACATCTCTCGAGGGGGATATTTTCAGGAGAAAACTTGAAAAATAAAATGTCAGTATTTTCACCAATTCAGTTCTGAGTCCCTACTTTAAAAATAAGAAGTAAAATAAAGATTCCTTTAATTTTTTAATAAAGTCTGAAAATTACCCAAAGGCCAAGTTTAAGAACAGCGGCTCTATGACCTATATACTACTACTGTGTTCTTAGACCAGATTAATAGGAAACATTCAGTCAACAAAGATAACCCAGGCCTTTTCCCAAAACACAGCTCCACGGAGTGCGTGGAAAGAAAGCAAAAAATTTCACGTTCATCAGCCTAAATGCACGAAACAAAGGGGAATCTGCTCCATTTCCTTCATGAAAGGCATCTCCGGCGAGAAACGCAGCAACCTCGATAAAACTGAAACACCACAGAGAAGTCCCCTATCACCCAACGTTCCAGGGGATTTTAAAACAAGTTCGAATCCCACTGGTCCTCCACCCCTACTCCATGCCCTTCCAAGCAGAGGCCTGTTCAGGAAAGCCCAACAGGGCCTTCTCCAAAAACCACTGAGTCATGCAGAACAGCAGTTCCGTAGGCCAAGCAGGCCCCTCACCCTGCGGGTCCCTCGCCGACCCCCGACCCCGAAAGGCTCCTCGGAGGAGGCAGAGAAGGGGGGTGCGGCGGGCAAGGGGTTGGGGGCGCGGCCGCCGCCACCGCCTCTTTGTCTTTCCCGGTTCGGCGGCCCAGGCGGGACGCCACCGCGGAAGGCGGCCGGGACGGATGTGAGCGAGGCCCGGAGCTCGAATCTCCCCGAGGCCGCACGCCGGGGATTGTTTCTCCGACCGTGCGTGTGCGAGCGAGTCCGGGGCATAGGGAACCGGCCTCCGGTCACGACGACAGGATGCCGCCTCCGTCTTTGTGCTTCCTGAGCTGGCAGGCGGGCTCCCCTCCCCCGACGCCGCCATCCGTGGGCCGCTCGGGCTTCGCAGGCTCGCGGCGCCTGGCCCCCCACTCCCACCCGCGGCCCGGCACGAGCAGCCGGGCGCCTTCCCCTAGCCCCGTACTACTCACTCTTCGACCGCGGGAGCCGGGCTCGCGCACGACGCCGGCGAGGTGGGGACCGGGCCGAGCCCTCCGGGCGGGGCGAGCCGGAAACCCTAGAGCCGCCGCCGCGGGCTGGAGCCGCAGGCGGAGGGGGCGCCGCCGCCGCCGCGGGGTTCTCCTTTGTTCCCGCAGCAGCCCCGAGCGTGGCCGGGACACGCCGGAGCCCGGGAAGTGGGGGGAGGGAAGCGGTGGGGGGAGCGGCGGAGGAGGAGAGGGCGGAGGGAGTAGTACAGGAGGCCGCAGCGGCTAAGACTGCTCGTGGCGCTCGCCCGTCGTCGCCTCACACCTCCACCGGCCGCGGGTCTGGCTGACTCCGAGGACGAGCGGGGCACGCGCAGCTAAGCCCGGGGACCGCAAGGGCCCGCGAATGGCGCTCTCTGACCCTTCGCTACCGCCGGGGAAGCTGTGCAGCTCCCGGGAACGACGAGCTCCAAACGGTGATGCAGGCAGGTCCGCGCTCCGGCCGACTGACGCGTTCTCTCCGCCCCGCGATGGAAAGACGGAGGGGGCGGGGTCTGTGCGTCAGCGAAAACCCCGACGGCGGCGGCGGCGGGGAGCGCCTTGACGTCACGTGCCCGACGCCGCGCCTCTGCCTTCAGTCACCCGGCCGGGGAGGCGGGGCCGAGCCTGACTGCGCTGCTGTTGCGCGGAGCCTCGTTACTGGCCGGGCTGCCGGCCCGAGGGTGGAGCTGGAAAGAAATAGTCCTGTGGAGGATGCGTTTCTATTTTTAGCCCGATTGTCAGCCCTCAGCCTTTCTCCTTCCGATTTTCTCAGTCGAGCCTGCTATTCGCCCTTTGAGTTCTCACGCTTTGTCTAGAGTCTTTGGCAGACATTTCCCTTTCCTCCTTATTCTCCCTCCTCACCCACCCATCTAGAACGAGTTAGAAGGATTTGCTTCGAGAAAAGAAAATGAACCGCTGTTCGCTTCTGGGTCTTCTCGCCTGTTTATGAAGCTCCCAAGTCCAGTTCCCTCACACCCCTTTCGATTCTAAAGTCGAGCCTGAGCACTGCCCTGCTGCTACCGGGAAGGAGCGGGGCAAGGCGGCGCTCGCTTGCTGCTCGCTCGCCCAAGGTCATGATGGGTGGTTGTGCAGAGTCAGGAAAGGCTCGCCGGACTGGCTGCCTGCCCTCGGCCCTGGCGTCACGGTTCTGAACAAACTGTTTTGGCCAGCATGTAAAATCCCTGGAAATCGTCTATTCCAGCAAGGCCTCGTGAACAGGGAAAGCACCAAATGTTCTACTCAAGAAATGAAGCTAAGGGACAAACAAGCTAGACGAGAGGGAGAGATCAATAAGAAGACGCTGTAAGAGGAAGTTCAAGAGGGGGCAATTCAGAAATGAGGCACATGCTCCGACTAGTTTGAAAGGGTGAGTTAACTAAAAACACTGAGAACCTTTTCAAAGCACCAACAAAAAAATACCCCATTTGCAGCTGGCCTCTCCAGGTGACTTTTGTTCAACTCAAAAAACAAACTTAGTAAGACAGAAAGGACTTATGAAATTTCCTGGTAAACAATAGCCTGATGGTGATTGCAGCCATAAAATTCAAAGACGCTTACTCCTTGGAAGGAAAGTTACGACCAACCTAGACAGACTATTAAAAAGCAGAGAAATTACTTTGGCAACAAAGGTCTGTCTAGTCAAGGCTATGGTTTTTCCAGTGGTCATGCATGGCTGTGAGAGTTGGACTAGAGAGAGGGCTGAGCGCTGAAGAATTGATGGTTTTGAACTGTGGTGTTGGAGAAGACTCTTGAGAGTCCCTTGGACTACAAGGAGATCCAACCAGTCCATCCTAAAGGAGGTCAGTCGTGGGTGTTCATTGGAAGGACTGATGTTGAAGCTGAGACTCCAATACTTTGGCCACCTGATGCAAAGAGCTGACTCATTGGAAAAGACCCTGATGCTGGGAAAGATTGAGGGCAGGAGGAGAAGGGGATGACAGAGAATTAGATGGTTGGATGGCATCACCGACTCGATAGAAATGGGTTTGGGTGAACTCCGGGAGTTGGTGATGAACAGGGAGGCCTGGAATGCTGTGGTTCATGGGGTTGCAAAGAGTCGTACACGACTGAGCAACTGAACTGAATGAAGAAATAGAAAGGATGTTTAGGGCATGTAATAGTCATAATTAGAGGGGAGTGAGAGGTCCCTTCCTTGTTTCCCAAGCTTACTGATCAGAAAAATCACCTGGACTCTTTGATTCAGTTAAGTCTCTCAGTCATGTCTGACTCTTTGCGACCCCATGAACTGCAGCACGCCAGGCCTCACTATCCTTCACCAACTCCCGGAGTTCACCCAGACCCATGTCCATTGAGTCGGTGATGCCATCCAACCATCTCATCCTCTGTCGTCCCTTTCTCCTCCTGCCTTCAATCATTCTCAGCACCAGGGTATTTTCAAATGAGTCAGTTCTCATCAGGTGGCCAAGGAATTGGAGTTTCAACTTCAGCATCAGTCCTTCCAATGAACATTCAGGACTGATTTCCTATAGGATGGACTGGTTGGATCTCCTTGCAGTCCAAGGGACTCTCAAGAGTTCACCACAGTTCAAAAGCATCAATTCTTTGGCTCTCAGCTTTCTTTATAGTCCAACTCTCACATCCATAGGTGACTACTGGAAAAACCAAAGCTTCAACTAAGTGGACCTTTGTTGGCGAAGTAATGTCTCTGCTTTTTAATATGCTGTCTAGGTTGGTCATAACTTTTCTTCCAAGGAGTAAGCGTCTTTTAATTTCATGGCTGCAGTCACCATCTGCAGTGATTTTGGAGCTGAAAAGGATAAAAGCCTGTAACTGTTTCCATTGTTTCCCTATCTATTTGCCATGAAGTGATGGGAAACTATTTACTTTTAAATAATCAGCTAGACCCCTCTTTTGTAGATAGTTTTGGTTGTTTGGGGTGGAGCTCAGAAACTTGCATATTTAAGTAGTGCTCCAGCTGATTCTTCTTTAAATTTTGTATATTTGGGAGGATGCTGTTTTGTTGCCCTGTGCCAGAATTTTCAAATCAAACAGTTCTCTGCCAAAGTAAGCAGAATACCTAGAACATAACTGAACGTTTTCTTTACAGTTTAAAGTTTTTCAGTTCAGTTCAGTCGCTCAGTCGTGACTCTTTGTGACCCCATGGACTGCAGCATGCCAGGCTTCCCTGTCCATCACCAACTCCTGGAGCCTACTCAAACTCATGTCGATCGCATCGGTGATGCCATCCAATCATCTCATCCTCTGTTGTCCCCTTCTCCTCCCACCTTCCATCTTTTAAGGTTACTGCTGTAAGCAATTAATGTATTAGAGATATAAGTAGTTTCAGACATTAGTTCCAGGACCATTGGAATTGACTTTCTTGAGTAGACAGATCAGTAAAAATTTTGCAGCTACCATTTACAGACCATTTTTGGGGCTAAGTATTTTCCATTTAGGGTTTCATTTAATCCTTACAGGAATTCACTGGGATAGATACTGATATATCCATTTTTACGGATAAGTGAATAATGCCTAAAGAGGTTAAGTGACTCCCCTGAGGCACTGAAAAACAGGGAATCAGTAGAGGTGGTTTTTACTGAGGACAAAAATAACTTGGAGATTTTCCCCTTCCCCCATTTTAGTTATTAAAAAGTGAAACAAGATAATCTCTGAAGATGTTATTGAAAAAAAGAAAAAAAAAGGCAAACTGGTTATTTAATAATATATTGTGTAGTATATGTTATGTAGCACCCTCTGATAATTTGTTTTTTCTACCAACCATTTGTGATTTTCTGTATGAGACTGTTTCAGACAGGAATATACCCTGAATTGAGCCTAGTTTTTAACTACGCTGCTGCTGCTTATGCTAAATCGCTTCAGTTGTGTTCGACTCTGTGCAACCCCATAGACGGCAGCCCACCAGGCTCCCCTGTCCCTGGGATTCTCCAGGCAAGAACACCGAAGTGGTTGCCATTTCCTTCTGCAGTGCATGAAAGTGAAAAGTGAGTGAAGTCGCTCAGTTGTGTCCGACTCTTAGCGACCCCATGGACTGCAGCCTACAAGGCTCCTCCATCCATGGGATTTGCCAGGCAAGAGTACTGGAGTGGGTTTTAACTACGCTAGTCCTTCTCAAAGTATAGTCCTCAGATCAGCAGCATCAGCACCACCTGGGCACTTGTTAGAAACAAAATTTCTCAGACCCCACACTGGACCTGTGGAATCACAAACCCTGAGTGAGCTCACTTTGTCCAACCTGTTAAAACAGGTTCTCCTTATCATTCTGATGCATGCTGAAGTTTGAGAACCACAGAATTACCCCACCAGGCCATAGGAGATCTCTCAGATGTTCACACCATGTGAAGGAAAAAGGGAAAAAATTTTTTTTCTCATATTACTATTACTGGTATAACAGATTAGGGGATACGTTTCTAAGGAGTGTTTTGTTTTTGGAGTTCTGAATTTTCTATTGGACTGTAAAGATAAACTGTAGAACACCAAATATATGATAGAATGCTCTTAATATGGTGTGCACTAGGGCTGTCACCATGCTTGTTAGAAAAGATTGAAATCAGCCTCTGCAAAAAATAACAGGGAAAGTGGGGCATGCTTGAATTGTGGTGTTATTAATTGATTGTTCAAAAATACCTCTTGGAGAATTTCATTACATGGGACATACCAAGTGACTGGTACCGTGTGTTAGTTAGTTGTTTTGTCATGTCCGACTCTTTTTGACCCTGTGGACTGTAGCCTGCCAGGCTCCTCTGTCCCTAGAATTCTCCATTTTTAAACATTCCTTGAAAATAACACTGAATTATATTGTATTCATTTTTTCTCATAAAAATGTTTTGCACACTTACTATGTTCTAGGTACCCACTGAACTGAGTGCTGGAATATACGTTGGTGGGAAAAATTGATCTTACCCTTTTTCTCATGAATCTTTCTGTCATATTAGGGAGAAAGATATCAGCAGTATTATCACATAAATATATAAATATGAGGAGAAGGCAATGGCAACCCACTCCAGTACTCTTGCCTGGAAAATTCCATGGATGGAGGAGCCTGGTAGGCTGCAGTCCATGGGTTGCTAAGAATGGGACATGACTGAGCGACTTTGCTTTTCACTTTCATGCATTGGAGAAGGAAATGGCAACCCACTCCAGTGTTCTTGCCTGGAGAATCCCAGGGATGGGGGGAGCCTGGTGGGCTCCTGTCTGTGGGTCGCACAGAGTTGGACACAACTGAAGTGACTTAGCAGCAGCAGCATATAAATATGAACTGGTAAACTCTTTGAAAGAAAGATACAGAAAGCTATCGGAGCATACTGGAGAAGGGCATGGGAACCCACTCCAATATTCTTGCCTGGAGAATTCTATGACACGACTGAGCGACTAACACACATGGGAGCATATAACCCATAACAATGGATGCTGAAACTCATCCAGATCTGAGTTCCATTGCCAGTCATCCCCATCACCAGTCATCCCCATCACCAATGGATCAAGGCTTACTTCCTTAACGTAGTTGGCTATAGCAAACTGGCATGTCCTATGAGAAAGTTGAAACAGTTTGTATTCTACTAAAAGTTCAGGTAAAGTCATTACGAGTTCACTAATATTTTTCTTTGCAATCTAGGCATGAGCAAAAAGAGGATTAATAACTGGAGAAGAGCAAATTAAATTCAGTTTCTTAGAAAGTAGAAACTGACATCCTTTAAAAATAGCAATAAAAATTATTAGTCCGGTGTAAAATTATTTTACACCGGAGTTATTTTAGTTTTATATGTAGCTTTCCATTATGGAGTAAGAATTGCTTCTATGGCATAATTGTAATACCCTGTCATGGGTATTATATTTT